CTCCTGTTGGCTAGACATGGTTGTAGGACCATGCTTCGCGATGAGGCCGCGAAAGATCCGCGAAAGATATCTTTTTTTCCCGCGATGAATGGCCATTCCAGGATAAAAGAATATTGATCAACCACCATATTTGTTTGAATAAAAGCGATAGACATATTTATTTTCTTTTTTTCCTTTATTGTCCGAAGATTTTGTTTTAATAAATTATTATTCGAATAATATAAACGAATAATATAAACGAATGATAACCTAAATTTTACTATAAATATTCTATAATCTTATTTCTCCATAATTACGAATAATATTTGTTTATGGATCGAATTAATAATAATGCGGAATGATAACAATTACGTACGATTAACACGATTATATATATTTTTTATTAGGCCGAGACCCGTATAAAATTATAAGGATTAATTTTCCATTACGAATAACGTTGTTACCGCTTCCGTAAGGAAAATAAGATAAGGCATCTAAATATTTTTGTTCACAAACCTAATAAATGCCTTAAATAAATATCCGCTTAAAATTATTATTTCATCTGTCTTGAATATAAAATAATTTGCTAAAGCGGTAGAGTTCCACAAAAATTCAAAAAATATATAATGTGTCCCATTTACGACAATCTTTAATAAAAAATGAAAGAATAATATATTATAAAATGAATACTATAATGATTATATTAATTTTCTTTAATTTTCATGCCATAAAAATTACATTATAAACATCCCATAAATATTTTAATAAAAGATTTTAATTCTTTAATCAAATAAATATCTAAATCAATCTATAAATATATTAATTCGTATATGCAATTGCATATCTAATTCCGTCCTCCATTATTAATTATTCCATAAAATATTCTACCACTAGCTCAATGCCATGCCAACATAATACGCGAAAATCCCCAATCAAATTCAAAAAAATATTTTCTCTTTAAAAATTTATATAATAAATACATCCCCAATTAAAAACATATCAATTGTCATATTAATAAATATAAATATTATACTTAATTACAACCAAAAAACCGAGAAAATATAATTATCCTCGCCTCCTACCCTCCTTATCCAAAATTATATCAAACAACCTTAACCAATCAATCAACCGCAAATATTAAAAAAATCAATTACGCACAATTAATAAAGAGAAATAAATTTTAAAAAAAAATTATCAATAAAGTAAAAATCGAAATTAAATATATACGATACTTACATAAATCATACGCCAAAAAATCCATTATCAATATTCTAAAAATTTTTAAATTTAAAAATCCTTATTATCAATCTACTTTAACACTTGCCTATTAACGTAAAATAACCGTCGATATAGCACGATTTCGGAAAGAAATATTAAAAAAAACCTTATATAATTTATTATATGTAAAAAACCTTACGCGTAACAAAATTTTATTTACGCCAACCCTCCTTATATAAATTCTCCAAAAAAAAATATTCAAACGAACAACCACTTCAAAGCCAACATATAAAGATCTTTATATTATAATCTTTATATAATCCAATACCACAATAAAAACCAAGATGCATAAATCAAATACTATATCATTCCTTTTTCAATCGCATTATAATTCTTAAATATAAAATCTTAAAATATATAAATATTATACATTTATTTTAAAAATACGACGCCCTAAAGGTGGGTGTTTTTTCCAATATTTTTTACGTTTTTTTCTATAATTTTAAATAGAATTTCTACATTTTCGTTACATTCACCCATCTAGTATATATTATGTGTGCCCATAGCCTGCTGCCCTTTGCCATAATCTTATCAATAGATTTCCTTATCAAGCTTTTAAACACATAGCTAAAGTCTGTATCTATCAATTGCATCATAACTATCATCTTTGGAGGAATGATAGATTATAATTGACGGGGTGCATACATCATCTTGTATGTATCATCGCTAAATGAAACAGCAAAACAATCCCTCTAATAGATGGATGCTAAATATATCCTCCCTTGCTTTGCAATGACCCATGACATAATGATATTATCCTAATTGGAGGATGGTTGGGAATAAACATCATAGCGCTCCAACAAATGAGGATGATCCCTTCTGATCTTGATCCATTGCTCCAATGCCCTCCTGGCACTCTCTCCCTTCCTATGCAGCTTGATGTCTCCCAAATCATTCATCCTCAATCCACCTGCCTTTGTGATCAATGTTGTCCAATCTTGCATGTTGCACAGATACTATGAGCGCCCCCTTGCCCACATGTCCAATGGGGTCCTCATCAGGGTTGAAGAAATTGCTCACCAGCTAATGGGCCTCAAAGGTAATCCTCATCTTCTCAGTTGTTGAGTCCATCATGATAGTCAAATGAGCTCTTCCCCCACCCTTTTGATTCTGAATGGTCACCAATTGCCAATCTTGCTTCTTCTGATCATCCAACGCCTCAAGGTCCTTATTGGGTTCCTATCTCATGGGCTTGTTGGTTCAATTCATTTTGAAGGTCCGTCCCAATCTTTATGATGGTCGCCATGTGTCCTGGTCTCGTGGCCTGCAAATACAATCTTAGTTAATCCGTTTTCACCCATACAGGAACCTAATCTAAAAATCCAAACATACATTCAGGCTTTGCCACAAATGCCTTCACATCTTCATGCCCCATAGACACAAGGCTCATGATATAATCATGGTGGTTCCATGCCAATTCTGCTGAAATCTGCTGTTCCTCAATGCTCAAGGGCGCCAACGCATTTGGAATTATATGTTTGACACCACTAGCATCCATAATGCTTATACCCCTCTTTAATGCTCTTTAATGCTCTTCATTTGGGATTCAGCCCTTTCCAATTGATTGATACAAAGAATTTTCTAGGGCCCATCTTCCAGCTCATCCCTTTTCTCCTCAAGCTTGACTTTCTCCACTAATAGCAACTGAAAATATTTCCATGCAAAATCCATTTTCTACACCCCATGTCCATAACTCCTTTCCCTTTCCAACCATGTCTTAACCTCACCAACCAAGTGGGGGACTTAACCTCACCAACCAAGTGGGGGAATTATTACTTGGCACACCCACCTAACGCCCTGACTCTCATGTGGTTCCCACCTAATGCTTTCTTCCCTTTGCTCAATCCAATCCTTTGCGTTCTCTCATCTGCTGTTGTGCTTTACTGATGCTTCAGAATCTCTGTCTCCCATTTGGATCTTTCAGCATAAATTCCCTTCAACACATGAGATTTCATCAAGATTGTCCTATTCAATTTCCTTTCTAATGCGTCAGTATGCTCTCCATTTCGGGGGGAGGTCGACAAAAAAAAAGAAAAATTGGCGCTACCTCAAATCAAGGCCACCTTTCTTTTTTTGGCGACTCCCCCCCTCTGGAAAACTCTGCGCGGTCCATGTCTACGACGCTAGCAGCGATGTCTATGCGATGTCTGCTACTGTGATGGGACGCGTAATATGACAATATCCTCCTACATTTTATCCTTAAATAAGAATACCTCCAGCGCATAGATAGTAAATTCGTAAGAAAACTAAAACATTAGAAAAACAGACACCTCCACAACGTCGTGTTCTGCTTACTTTATATGCCAATATATTATTCTATTTATAATTCAGAAAAATTCATTAAACAACGATATAAATCCCACAAAAAAACGATAATACAATATATTATATTAATCACAATTTAGAAAAATTCATTAAACAACGATATAAACCCCACCCTTTGCACTTCTAGTCAACGCAGCTGCTAATTTGGTATCCAAAGTGGTGAATTTACCAAGATTGGACAAACGTTCTTCCAGAACACTTCTTTCATCAACAGTGTTGTGCACCTCCATCAACCAGTCCCATGCTGCGTCGGGTTTGTCTGAACATGATTTGATTTCATCTCTCACATGATGTTTCCACTGCCGATAGGTTTCAGGGGTTGGCATGTCGTTCAACTTAATGTGATCTGCCTCCTTGACCTTTGGCTTCTCATCCGAATCCCTTTGAGTGAGTGCCAGTGACAGTGGCCTCTGGCACATTAGGTCCAAACAACCCATTCAAACGTGCACTAGCCTCTGCTGCAATGGTCTCAAATGTATCTTTCTTTTCTTGCTCGCCTTGCCTAGGCGTCATCATTGGCGAAGCAATTAAGCTCGTTGGAACATACTCTTGATCGGCGGTGTCTTTGTTTTCGGCCCTCATGTCATCGATGATTTGTTGTAGGCTATAATTCTCATTTTCTGCCTCTCTCAAATCACGCTGAAGTTTAAGCTCACGCTCATCGAACTCTGCACGAAGTTTCACTACACCTTGTTCAGCACCAGTTGTGATAGCGTTCACTGTCTGCTGACATTCATGCATGAGTTGCGTGCGCAAAGAATCCATCTCGGCTTTCTTTGCTTCTGCTTCCAATGCTTTGTCATTCTCTAACTTGAAAATGCGCGCTTTTGCAGTGCTAAGCTCTGCTTGTAGCTTGTCATAGCTAGATTGGGCCTGTTGTTTCACCGAACTAAGCTGATCATGGTGTTTGCCTTCTACCTCAAGGATCGCCTGGTGGAACTTGGCTTTTACCGTTTCCATCCATTGCGCTAATACCTCCTTGTGCCTTCGTTCAGCCTCACCTCATTACCGTTGTACACTTGCTGAATGTTTTGCGGCGCAAACTGAAAGTACGCCGTCACCGGAGCTGAACCCATGGGATCGTCTAGATCTACAGTGGGCTCAGTCACGAGACCGGCTGGCACAGCAACCGGTGATGTGGCATTACCAGGAGTAGCGAGAGCGTCCATGGCTGTGGTTAGAGCTTTACGGCTGATAACCTATAGAAACACCCGTTAAGCTGCAACACCTGTTTTGGGCCGCGAGCTGCAAAGGTATAGTCGATATGACATCCTACATATGTGCAAGGTGAAAGTGTACATCTTATTATATGGAGTGAAAACACAGCTTTTCTTCTGGAAAGTTCGTCGTTCCCGAAGAAGCCGGCAAATCAGAAGATTTTGAGATTGCGAGACCGTCATGTTTTTGCAACAGCTATGCCGGCTCAATCCAGAGAGATGCAATTGGACTTCAAGTCCGACACTCGTCCACCAACCACTCACGTCGGCGCTGTTGGCCAAAGCAAAGCAATTGGTGGGCATTCAACTTACGCAGGATGCAACCCCGATGGAGGTCCATCCAAAGGTGCGCAATCCCAAAGTGCCCTTGAGAAACTGGCGGGTCATTCTGGACAAGATCGCCGTGATCCTGGTGCTCGCAGCGGTTCAAGACGCTGATTCTCATGAACAAATGCGACTAATTAGTGCTGGTGACCCAGTCACTTCATGACACGTGTGGTTTGATGTGACGCTGCTCTAGTAAAAGCATACTGCTTCAGTATTGTCAGTCAAAGGTGTTTTCACTTGCTTCTACTGGTGGTTCAAGTGGTGTGGTGTTTCACTCTCTTTGACGTCCGCCTTACCCTTTATTGTTCCCTTTCAGTGACTCAACACTTTGAACCCTTCACCGATATCCAGGAAGAATCCACGGCATTGTCAACGATGATGCAGTCTGGGGGCTCTGGTGTTGGTGACGGGTATGGATGTACTTTGTTGTTCAGGGCTTTGTCAGCTGTTTTGATCTGAGGGATCATTGAGATTGACAGATGCGTTGACTTTCTAGTTGAGAGTGGAGTCGGAGTATCATAACAATAACTAATTTAATACTGTCGTTGTCTTTGGTTAATTAATGTTGTTGTCATGACTGGTTTCTTTAGGACGCTGGCGTGCGCCTCATCCATTGTACATCATTGTCATTGAATTACTCTCTCAAGGTCAAAACACATGAATCAATGTTCATCAGATTTCCCAATTCCATGGTCATGCTCAAGCACCGGTGTTGTCTGAGTGCCAAAGTGCAAATCTGATGCTAATTGGCACATCCGTACCGGACATGGAGCTTTCTCGAAATGTGCGCGCGGAAGGCGCATTCTACACTGAAGGTAGCCTTGCAATGGGGGTCAGTCGACCTGGGAGGACGTCTCGGTGCGGATTGAACTCAAGTTCAGGAGGTCTATCAAACTGGTGACATGTGCGCAAGTGAATCGCTACAGCTTTTCTTCCCATTGATTCTTGAGAAGAGCGGACAAGTGAAGGTTGTCATCGGACCAGTGTCTGGGAGTCGAAGGACCTGAGTCAAGGCATCCCGCGCATTGCCCTTGGTCGGCCGATGCTGTGGTCCATGGATGCGTGTTGACCGGCGTGACCGGAAAATGATCAGGGTGCATGGCAATGGTCTGACCAGCTAGAATGGACAGTTGATGCAGGAGCGCACATCGGTGGGATTCGATCTTCTGAGACCGTTGTTGGCACAGCGGACAAACCCCCGCTCCACTGCCCAATGTTGGCTGCCCAACGAACTCGATCTCTGCACGAGTTGGAAACAACTGCAATTCAGGATGTTGCTCGGTGTAGTGTCGAGCAATGGTTCTGGCGCCAAGTTGGCTATTGCAATATGCACATCTACTGGCTAACTCTGCCCACAATGCTTTGCCAAGGAGTAGACCCTGGTACGACTGACGTCGAAGATGCATCCTGAGCTCTGGTCTGGCCGCAATGGGGTTCACTGCTCCCTTAGTGGCACAAAAATGTTTGTTGATGTGTTCTTTCAAAACACGCATGTTGGCAAAAGATCTGTGGCAATGTGAGCATGTACTAGCGATCATCATGTGAATCTCGAAGAGGTTCAAAAACATCTTCAACCAAGCAGTCATAGCCATGTTGCCGTTTTAGGTGGCGTTTTAGTGTACCCGCCTGCTGATAAGATTGATGGCATTCGGGACACTGAAGAGTGTCATGTGGGGATACCTGTAAATGAATGTCTGTGGGTGTGATTCATGCAGAGATGGGATAGTCTGGGGTCAGAACACAAATGTCATGGCTCTGGTTGGCCATGGATGACCCGCTCAAGGAGCTGCGACGGTTGCGCAGGGCCGTTTCAAGACGGGCAAAAGTGTTCTGAAGCATGATCCAAGGTGGTTCAAGTCCAAGTCTCTGAAAACAATCAGCCGTGGACTTGTGGGTTAGATGGACAGGCTCTTTGATCATGCGTCTATGGTGAACGTTGATGACACTGACCAGTTGTTTGAAGCCTTGGGTGGTTATTCCCATCTCAAAGATTGCATGGGGTAACACATTGGCGATACAATCGAAACTTCAAGTGCCTTGGAATGATGGAATCTGTGAGCCATCGTCTCAGGACATGAAAGGAATGCTGAGCAGCTGTAACACGGCGTCGAACAGTGTCAATCACGGCACGCTGTGTTCGAAACCAGTGGAAGTCTCCAGTCTCCAGTCATGGTCAGGCAGGCGCAATTTGGGCCCATCTGAGGTCCAACGGCGCAGGAACGCAGGCCAATGACCCTGCAAAGTGCTACACTCTTCTGTACGTTTATGCGGAGTCCATATGACTGCATCAAAGTTAATACGAATGAAAAATCACAGAGCGCGGTGAGACCCTCTTCAGGAGTATGGATGATCCAGCGCAGGTTGACGTCATCCGCAAAAACAATGATCGACCATCAGCAAATGCATACACAGAGACCACAAATGCGGGGCGGCTTTTAAGCCCTGTTGGATGCCTCGATTGGCAGTCAAGGCCCCAACCAGTTCCCTGTATGGAACGTAGTATTTGTGAGGGGCGAGCCAGGTGTGGAGCATGCCAACGACTTCTGGGGGCAGGGATAAAATGTCAAGTGCTCTGAGCTGATCGAGTCAAAAGCTTTCTCCATGTCACGTGAGACCTGAAGGCCCCCAATCAAACTACGACGATCATTTTTTGCTGGTGGGTTTGACATGCGTCACGAACAGCTCGACAGCGCGCCGAAGTCAACAACAGGCAATCGGCAGTACTTCTACCAGGGAGGCATGCATACAATGGCAACTGGCGCAGCCTGGGAAAAGCTACGTCCATTACTTATTGAATCAAAAGGCCCAAAACAACCTTGTTGACCGGATGTTGGAGACAACTAGGGTGCAAAGCTTCCGGCTTGTTGCAAGCTTTCCCAGGCTTGGCTAACAGGTGTAGCCATCCGGCTCTGGTGGCAGGGGGTTCTCCACGCTCCAATGATCAAGTAGTGATCGGCAGAGTGGGGCAACATCCGGGGCCAGAGTCTTCCACGCGATCGCAGGGAGACCATCTGGGGCAAGAGCTTTGGTTGCGGGCAAACTACGAAACCTTTCCATCAGGTCAACTGCATCAACCGGCAGGGCCTGCAAAGCCGGTCGGTTCGGGGAAACAAATTCAGAGTCCGTCAGCAGTTGATCAAAATAGTGCACAGTCTTGTTGAGTTCCAGACCAGGAGGCAGGCAGTTTGGGGCTAAGTTGCCGGATTCTATGATGCCAGTCGAATGCTTTGTGGGTCAATGCCAAATCAACACTGTCCTGAAGAAATCGTTCAAGACGTTGACGTTTGTTGTGGCGACTGGTCTGTTTGATCTGACGATGCAAGACTGCATATCGACAAATATGATGCCAACTCTGGAAAAGACCTATCAGGTCCGTGCTCTGGCATTGCTTGGCTATAATCGTCGAGCCTGCCACACGTGGGCGGCGATGGACAGGATTGGGGAGGGATCAGGTGTGGCTTTCGGTTCTCTGGGGAACCATTCACGGCACAGTTTGCGAGGTGATGTTTCCAACGCCTGACTGTCATACGTTTCAGGTGGACAAATCTGAGAAGCATGAGAATGATCTTGGACGATGGACCGTGCAGCATGTTGAAACAAGTGCCACTGGGCGGTATTGTTCAAAAAGGCATGTCTCAGCTGAAAATCTGTTGATCGGATCAAGAACCGTCCTCTTGACACGAGCTGGATGCCAACGTGGCATACACAGACCTAGGGGTCGGTGATGCGGACCAGTGATGCCAAAGTTCCTATCAAAATCTTGAATCAGTCGGGGACTCATCGAAGCATGGCGTTGGTGCTGTCGAACAAGCATGAAGTCTATCCTGGTGGCATGGTCACCGAGGACGAAAGTGGGTGCCAGGGACCACTACTACAGTGCATTGCTATGAGTTGCAAGTCCTGAATCATCGGTTGGAAGGTCTGCTTATCAGTCTGGCTAGCTCGATCGTTCTTTGGGTCGTGGGTCTGCACGAATGGTGGGCATTGTTGGAGCGAGTAAAAGAATGGTTGACTGGAATGTGATTGACACAATCCTGGAGTTTTTTCCAAACTTGAGTGCCTCGGCCCGGATTCCAGCTGTGCTGATAGATGGCCAGAAGATCATATGGTCGATGGAGAGGAAGTCTGGCCTGAACACAACGACCCGGAATATGAACGGCTGTGGAGAGGCAGTGGCGTGAAACGACATTGGTTCGAACCATGATCAAGACTGAGGCCTGTTTGTCCGAACTGTGAACGAAATGCCAGCGTTGATTGGACCTCTCCCCACTGAGTGACCAACCAGTTTCTTGAATGATGAAACAATCATACTGGCTGGCTGCAGCAAGTCTGAAAACCTTCGTGCTGCAACGAGCGTGAAGCGTTCCAGGAAAGGATCTGCAAGAATTGGTCTCGAGGTGCCTGGGATGCGCACGCAGGCGGTCGAGTGGAGGACCGTGCAGGCACCAAGCTTGACGAAGCCGCCATGGTACATCAGTGGGGTACAATGGCTTGCCCTTATACGTTGCAGCACTGTCGGATAGGCTTCGGTAGCACGCTCTTTGGAAAGCTCTCCTGACACGTTTGATGCGTTATTTGGACGTCACTGGACCGAGGCCCGCCTTTGCCCAAGCCTCATGCTGCTTCACGGCCGAGGATGCAAGAAACTGCATGGGATGGCCGTTCTCGACCCTTCGAGAGGCTGGAGAATCAACCCTCACGCCCGGTGCCACCATCCAAGATCGAAGTTGGCGATGTGTCCAGGCGGCACCGCCCGGAATTGGGACCGGGCCCTCCAGCTGGGTCGTCAAAATAAAAGTAAGGCTAAGAAAATGTCGAAGCATGCACGGGGTGCACAAAAGAAATCTACAGGCAAAGAAGGTCAGGACGAAATGGCAGGCTCCCCGGGCTACAACGCGGCCGTTTGAGCTGGAGTGGCGCTTCAAAATTGGATATCCAATTCAATATTGTTCTTCCTTCAATCAATGGGTAAAGGGAATTATTACATAACAATATCAATCAATAATCAAAAAAACATATATGAATCGGCAGGACTCTGAAATCGAAATGGAATAGACATGGTTCCGCAAACAGTTCACAACATGCACTAAATGGAATCAAGTCTTCAAAAGCAAAACCCAACTGTGCAGGGGCTCAAAAAAGGTCTTAGCTCGAGTCGCGAGTGCAGAACCGATTTGACATGTCAGCCCTGTGCATGCTCTAAGGCCATAGTTTCTAGCAGTCCTAGCAGCAGCTTATTGCAAACCACACATTGTGACGTGCAATTAAACTATATAACTGGCTCGGCTTTATTGATATCACACTCATTGATTCATTTTGCCACATCCAATTGATACGAGTGGTACAAAAAATTGGCACCACGTGGATTCGTGCGGGCCGCACACAACCCCAAAAGGATAAATGGCATTCAGCTCCAAAACGTGTTCATTTTCTGAACATGTGCGTTTGGATCTGTTGAGATCAAGATGGCAGCATTCGCCTTGCGCAATTCAATTTTTAACAGCGACGTAGTTTGAGTTTTCTCCTGCCTTGGAAACACGGGGTGGCTGTCACCTGATCAAAGCTTGGGCCACTACTCACAGGCCGAAATTGAGAATGAAAATTGGACCTGGCACTGAAAGACATTGCAAGAGCGGCACTTCGACTCTCAACATCACCTAGCACTCAGGGCTTGCCTCAATGTGACTCATGTCTCCAGCGCCAACTCCGCAAGCTGCAGTGCCAAGTCAGCATCCGCACAGGTGAGGAAGACCACCGCCAACTGCCAAACACATGGGTAGAACACATGGCCAAAGGAGCCAGTTTTAAAACTCCAAATTTGCCATGCTAATTCCATAAACTCGTGCGGAACATCGGAATTCTTTTTGGCATTCCATTTCAGTCAGCATAGCTTTGCATCGATTCTTCCGCCTTCAACAAACGCAGTGCAAAAAAACAGCCTTGAAAAACAAACACTTTTGTAGATATATATATATAGCTATATACATGCTGTCAATCTAGCAAAGCCTCAATTGGTGACACATTCCCTCTGGGCAGGCTGCTTTGACCTCGAGGGTCTATGGTCATGCAACAAGGTTTCACTTGCTTACTCCTCCTCGGGTGTCCAGTATTTATGGTCACCTGAGTAATTGAAACACTTGGGATCGCGCGTAAGAAAGCTTAATTGGATGTGCCTTCTGAAGCGCTGCACTTTGTTCACGTTCACCATGGCGGTGTAGTCATGAGGCACAGTCACAACAAAGCCAGGGAACATTATTGGTGCAATTTTGTAAGACTTGCCGTTGTATGTGATTGTCAATGTATCGAAGGTATCACCTGTCACTGTGAGAACTTCCCCATCATCAGCGGTCCATTGACCGACCCAATGCATTGCCTTTTCTCCGGCGTCCCACTCCCGAATCCTGGGCTTCCAATTCCGATGCTTGATCTCAATTGCTCCTTCCGTAGGATCTGCCTTTACTGGGCCGACATACCAATTCCAGTCATGCAAGCCAGCCGAGTAGCCTAGAACACTGCCATCTGGCCGCTTGACCAAGAAAGCCGTTCCTGGCCCCAATGGGGGCTTCACATTCAGCTCATACTGGTACTTGGAGCGGATGTAGTCAAAGGGCCCATGGCCTTCGTGATCAAGCCAAAGCCCTCCTTCTGGTGTCTTCTTGAATTGGGAGTTGATGGTGCCATCGGAATACTCACCTAGCCATTCATCATACTCAGCCGTTGCATCATCCTCCGCCTCTCGTGATGGTGTTATTCGGTTGAAAAGAAAGGCACTGAAACGAGTGATGAAATCCTGGTACGAGATGAAGAAGCAGCCATCATCCTCAGCCTTGAAACTCACAGCTTCGGCAACCTCAGGATGCTCTGCCCAAAGGGGCGACTTGTCAGACCAGTCCCCATGCCATTCACCAAAGCCCCAAGGATTTTGCATCTTCACCAGTTGGATGTCCCCGACAGTATACATACCACCAATGGCATATGCATGGTGATCAACTATCCCTTCGCCACCATGACCACCACAGGTCACAACCGTGCCGGGTTCCTTGATGAGGAAATCAATCAGCTCACAGAAGCACAAGTCCTTGGACTTGGGCGGATAGACTGACAAGGTATGGCCACCGAAGAGTAAGCTAATGATATCCATCCCGGTCTTGTACTCAAGCCCTGCGTCATAGCGTCCCCCATGGCCATCAAGTAACATGTACTCAGTGTCGGAGAGCTTTGCCGTCAACTTCTCCAACAAACTCACCCAAATGGTGCCATGCGCAGGGTAAGCCCCCTCAGGCTGGCCAGGGCAGCCTGGCACAAGGTCATCGATCACTATCCAGCCGACACGACCGTGATAAGTCACCTTGAAGGTATAAAGGCCGTTTGGATCCAGCTTGCCGCCCTGCACATTCGAGAAGACCTCCTTCATGCGCTCAGGATACATTGACATTGCAGCGAAAGAAGCCATGAACTCACAGTCTCCCAGTGACACTTGTTTCACGTGGTGGAGCTGCGGCCCCTCTTCAGGCCACACACATTCTGCCTTCGGGTCATCGGCCAAACGGTAAGCATCGTGCAGCGCTGACTTCAGTTCCTGATACTCCGGATCCACAAACTTTTCAGATCCAAGCTTTGCACGAATTTGCTCAGTAGGATCCTGGGCAAAAAGGAAGTTGTACGGACCGAAGCGCTCACCCAAGGTGGGCCAAAGCTGCCACAAGCAATCTGGAATTTTGGGCATGTTGCCGCAGGAGTGTGGATGCTCAACTTTCTGCGCAGCCGAAATGAAGGCCTTGCGCTGCTCTTGATCAAGGTTTTGAAGGCATTCCTTGAGCTCTTGGACAGAGGAAGTCACCAAGCTTTCTTTCAGCTTTGAAGCACCAGAACCCATGGCGTACCACTGTGGGATCTACTTGTAAGAAGCTAGGCAGGGCTGGGCCCAAAGAGTGTGCAACCAGTGGTCTGAGTCCACGCAACAAAATCTCAGAGCCTAGGCCTAACCTGTGTTCTTTCTCAATTTGTTCCCCCTCAAAGTGTCACAAGCCCAGCTGAGACCTTCTACCGCGCCTCCCCTTGACGGCTTCGCTTGGCGCAGCTCAGCTGATTGCTTAGAGTGGCTTTGTCCCAGAGCTCATCTTTCACCTGAACTCCAGCGGCAGCAATTCCGAACTACGGCGTGTTCTGCCACAACACCTGTCATGGACACTTTCCCAACCAAGACCCATCAAAATATCTTTAAACAACATGTCCACCTCAGTGTTTCGCAATGAGAAACTTTTTCAAACACTTCATCTGGTCTGTGGTTGTCTGCAGTTCTCGTTTAGGCCCTCTGGCAGGAATGAACCTGCCAAGGCCACGAAGGGCTCGACTCTACTCAGGTCCATTTTCTTGCAAGCTACCTACTAGCCATAACCTCCCTAAGGGCGATTGCCTCCGACCTGCTGGCTCGTTTATATAATTTCCAACCCCCTGTGTGAAAGCTTGAATCCAGCGGCCGCCAAACTCTTCTGCATCATTATGTCATCATGAGTCGCTTGATGTCACTAGTAGTCATTGCACATCTGAAAGACAAATGCAAGAAGAAAACATGATTACAAAAAATTGTACCTAAGTTATGTAAGGCCCCTCTTTCATTTTTGTTCCCTTCTGCTTAATGTCGCCAAAACCCGCCGCTGCAGTCTCGCTGCATGAAGCGCTGCTGCTGCAGCCGATGCTGCAGAGGCTGCCTGACCAAACGAGCGCTCCGAATCTCGCAGGGCAGGGTGGTTGGCCAGGCACACCTTGGCGGCAACACTTGCATCTGCATGGCTCTGAAAGTAACAGTCTGATTGCCAAGATGCATCTGTCAAATGCATGGCACGCATTTCATCTGCTCCCAAAGACGCAACCAGGGAGTCCTCAAGGGTGTTGACACTCCAGTTCTACAACTCCACTGATTTCACACTTGCAATCATATTTTTCTTACTATCACACGCCACCCTCCTGGGCGGCCTCGACTTCAGCACTCTCCACGCTCATAATTGGCTTTGAGATCTGTATGGGCGACATGCATGCTCTGAACATAGGCCGGCGCACCTCTGAACAAAAAGCTTCCCACATGTGCTTGCATTCCACTGGCCTGAACCTTTGAGACACGTGGTTGACACCAGCTTGAACGAAAGCTCTGTGTTTTCCAACAATCATAGGAGCGATAGAAACTTACCATCAACCCCCTACGGGTGTGAAGTGGTTGAGTTCCACTAGGAAAGATGGTAGATCAAATGTGCTGGAGAAATCCGATGTTTCTGCTGCTGGTGAAGAGTCCTGTGCATTCGCACAGCTCTTGAAGTAGTACATGTATGAAGCGGTGAAGGGATGTGAAGGGTGTTAACTTGAGGGTTAATCGGTCTTTATACTGGAGGTGACATGGTGGTGGCTTTGGCATGTTTTGGCAGTGAAATGGTACGGCACCATGGATGAAGATTCCACGACAAGTGAGGAGATAGTTAATAGACATATGCGTATATATATATATATATACAACGTTTTCTGGGCCGAATGGTGGTTGAGGACCGGCAAAATGGTGCTTGTGGTCTGAAGTGGACACTTCAACTGCCGGCGCAGTCGTTTTTTTGCCGCTGTTTTTTTGACTGTTGATGAAAGAATGCTTTCAGGTTGCACGGTCCAACCAAACGGATGAGGGTAGACTTAAGCCCGGCGATGGGAGGGAAAAACTAGGCGTCAGGCCCACAAGCAACCCTCGCAAACCCTTTAAAAAGCGGCTCCAGAATACTACACTTGGCAAGGGCTAGCGGCTAGCAGCTCGCTCTAGTGACTTGTCGGCTGGCGCCTCGGAAAACAAATCCTTCATGACACTGCCTCAGTTGGCCACGGAGCAACACACAGCATTTGCGACATCAGCAAAAATACCTGGATGTGACAAAAAGAATCACAAACCACCTCAAGCACCAAATACAAAACAAGGCACTGTCAATCCAAATGTCCTAAAAGCCAAACAACACCTGCACCTTGTCCAATAGTATAATAGTATATACAGTAATTAATTAGTAGCAAAACTCCTTGATATGAGGACCGTATTTAGTTTTTCCTCTCTTGATCCTCTTTATTTTCTCTTGCTAAAGACCTGCTTCATGCCAAATCACTGGGGCTTTGCCTTCCGCCCTTGAGGAGCCATGCGCATGCCGCTTCTCTCTCTGCTGAAGGCCACCAGGCTGGTGCCGTACCATCAGCAGCTGGAGCAGACCTGCCAATATGCGTTCTCCAAGTTCTTCATGTCCAAACGGTAGAGAGAGGGCCGTTAAAACTCGCAAAATGCTCGAACGTTTATCATATTCATATGACGCCAAGAATCTCAAGCCATTTCATCAAAGCTGGAAGGTCTGCCAGCATTCTCGAGGTAGCTTGTGGCGGGGCTTTGCAAATCAGTTTTGTGCCGCGCAGGATGTCACCCTTATCAGGCAGGGCAATAACATCCATCATGGAGGTTGTGTTGACTGCAAGCTTGCATCATACGAGGCAATCTATCAAACAAAAGGTGTTCCTGCCAAAACGTTAGCTGATAGCGCTTTGTTGAACCAAGCTGCAACTGTAAGTGGCCCCGAGTACTTTGACCAAAGAAAGGTTTTTGCAGGTGCATTCAGCGCAATACCTGGCCCCGTAGCAACTGCACGAACAACACTGCGGCATAGCACGATTGCAGTTGCAGAAAAAATGCACCACCACCGATCCCAAACGGCAAAACTGACGTTACAATTCCAAACAAACATGTGTTTCCAAAAGTTACATACCTTGAACCACTTTCGAACATATTTCCCCAGATAGCGAAGCTATGGGGCTCTTATTTCAAATAACAATGAGTTGCCCGTGCGCGCTTTCGAGACAGGTTGCTGGTGCTGGTGCTGTGAGCTTGCGCGTGTGGAGACAGGTTGCTGGTGCTGGGTGCTGGGTGCCGGTGCTGGTGCTGTGGGCTGGCTGTGCACGTGGTGGAGACAGGTTGCTGGTGCCGGTGCTGGTTCTGGGTGCGTGGTGCCGGTGCTGGAGCTGGCTGTGCACGTGGTGGAGACAGGTTGCTGGTGCTGGTGCTGTGAGCTGGCTGTGCCGGGTGGCGGTGCCGGTGCTGCACGTGGTGGAGGCTGGTGCTGGTGCCGGGTGCCCGTGCTGGGTGCTGCTGTGGAGGTGCCGTAAGCTGGCTGTGCAGGCTGCGTACATCTTGTTCCAGCCAGTCGCATAGGTCGTGGGATTCTGCCTAGCTATCTGGGTCTATGCTGGTGTAATTTTATATATGTACTTTGACCAAAGCACGCCCGCTTTCAAAATCGCAAAAGTGCATTTGCAATATGTTTTCTCGAATGCATGTGTTGCACATTTTCCGAAAATATATACAAATTTGATCATATTTGTTGTTTAACGATGCCACAAAATATCTGTGTGCAACTCGGCAATAGAGTTTCCAACGATGCAACTTCGCAAATTTCAAAGCACATTATCGCGCACTATGAGAAATGCGCGTGCGAATCCCGAGGGAGGGGGCATGTGTTTTCAGACGTACGCCATCACATTTCTGCGGGCATAAACCTGCCCTTTCGCAAGCATGCCATTGTTTCCGTCAGACCTGAGGAGGAACCAGTAGAATCGAGTACGCAGGTCCTGGTTGCAAGGTGAAGTTCAATAGGCTGTGCGTGAACAAAACTACTTTACTTGACACTTCGTGACGGCCTTCTTCTGGCTCAGTGATGGTCTGTCTGGCAGCATGCATCCGAATGACCCACCCCACGTCTCCACAAAAAAAACAAGAGGCAACACACGAACCCGAATGCAGCGCGCACCCAACTCGAAAACAAACGCCTAAACAATTTTGACACTGTTGTAGGAGACACTCTTCTAGAACGCTCTTGTGGGACACTCTCGCGCGACATTTTCGTCACTCTGTGGGACACTCTTGCGGGACACTCTTGTGGGACCCTCTCGTGGGACACTCGCGTATCCAGATGTAATTTGGCCACATAAGTTGATAGTTCCGAGCCACAGTTCCCAGAAACTGCTTCCCGAACTACATGTGTACGACAAAGCTGCCAGTTCTACAGCTCCGAGAAGCTGAGCAGACTGATGCTTAAAACAATCAACATTAGTTAGCCGAGGAGAAAATCAATATATATATATATATATATCGTGGATCCCGGTCTCGTCGGAAGGGGTGTGTGTTTCTTTACCGTAGTCAGGCCGGGAGGTTTGAATTTGGCATGATTCGAGGGTATGATTCGGTGTATGATCCGGGGGTGTGGTTCGAGGGTATGATTCGCAGCTTTGAAATTGTATTGTTGGATTGGCTGGACTTCCATCAGTGGGCTCACATCTGTGCCGTGAGGCAGTAGGCAAGGCAGTATCTGTTGCTTGCTGGGCAGGTTAGGCGGATGCACTCTTCTACCAAAGTCCCCGGACCCCAAGCCTCATCAAAGGCAACCCTTTTGACTACAGTGCGCACCAATGGCCCTCTGCAGGCCCAACCAGGGATGTGGGATCGGTGGGAGATCTGTGGAGGCGTGCGATTCGGGTATGAACCAGGTATGAATAAATTGTGCCAAGGAAGGCGATCCTTTGGCTCTTCTCCCCAAGACAGAGCACATGGGAACATTGGTGTGGGGTGTGAGCCTTCGCTGTTCCCACAAGAAGCCAAACAGTTTTGGCCAAATCAGCAAGCACATGCAACAAAATACAAACAATTATGCTGTGGAGTTTCCAAGGCTGCGAAAGTGGAGAGGTACATGCACGCGTGCATCCCGAGGGTGGGGGCATGTGTTTTCAGAAGTACGCCATGACATTTCCGCGGGCATAGACCTGCCCTTTCGCAAGCATGCCATTGTTTCCGTCAGACCTGAGGAGGAACCAGTAGAATCGAGTGCGCAGGTCCCGGTTGCAAGGCGACGCCAGTCTTTTCTGGCTCAGTGATGGTCTGTCTGGCAGCACGCATCCAAATGAACCACCCCAGGCCCCCACCAAAAAAAAAGAGGCAACCCGCGAACCCAACTGCAAACACGTACTCAACTCGAAAGCGAACGCCCAAATATTTTTGACACTCTCGTAGGAGACACTCTTCTAGAACGCTCTTGTGGGACACTCTCGTGCGACATTTTCGTCACTCTGTGGGACACTCTTGTAGGACGCTCTTCTGCACTCTTGTGCGACACTCTTGCGGGGCGTTCTTGTGGGACCCTCTCGTGTGTCACGTATGACACTCACGTATCCAGATGTGATTTTGCCACATAAGTTGACAGTTCTGACGCCACAGTTCCCAAAAGCGGCTTCCCGTACTACATCTGTACTACACAGTGCCAATTCTACAGTTCCCATTGATCCTCAAAACAACCAACATTAGCTGGAATGGTTATCCAGTAGGTGAATAGTTGATTGGTTGATATTCAAAACTTGTTCCTTCTGCCACCCCCTTCTCAGCAGCTGATGCTTCCATAGGGTGGATCTTCACTTGACATTGGTACAATGATGTCAATGTAGCTCAAGTACTGACAAGATGACAAGTGAAGAATGTTGATTTCCCTCATTGGGTCTAAACAAGCCAAGTAGCCCCTTGGATGTGTTCTTTCATGTTCTTTCGGTAGGGTAGGCAACAGTTGCTGGGGAAGGATGTTCATCACATGTTCTGCCACCAACATCCGGATAGGACTGTGAGTCACTGAGTCGATATTAATGGAATTGGACTGTGCGGGCAACCCGTTCTGCTATTTCACCGCCGGCCGGCCAGCCGGCTAGTACGCAATCGGCCGGCCGGCTGGCTAGTACGCGATCGGCTGGCCAGCCGGCTAGTATGCGATCGGCCGGCCGGCTGGCTGGCGGGCGATGTATATCGTTGCTGCGATAGCTGCTAGTGCCTATAGTTAGTTGACTGGGCGGGCGGCCGGCCATTCGGTTATTCGGCCAGTCTAGCAAACGTAGATGGGTAGTGGAAGTCGTCGTACTGGTGGTAGTAGTAGTAGCAGCAGCAGGCCATCCGACGGCGTGGTTATTGGCCCGCCGGCCGGCCGACGCCGTGGTTTTTGGCCGGCCGGCTGGCTGGCTGATCGAGAAATAGCAGGTCGCGACAAGCTCGCAATGAAACATTTGCATAAATCCAAGCGCATGCTTGAATCAACAAAGCCATGTCACTCCTGGAAAAAGATTCTACTGATGGCTGCGGCGGGACCAGGTCCGACCCGGGCATCACTTTGTAGTGGGCTCAGTGAAAGGGAGCCTGTGGCAATAAAAAACAAAATCAATGCAACATGTAAACTCTTCAACTTCAACTGAAGATTGAAAAGTCATCAGAATGTCAACACCTCTGCGAAGCATCCTCCATCTATGCTTCGGGCCACTTGCCCCGCAATCCTGACTGAAGTCCGGTAGTCATCCATGGCAGCGCCTGCGGAAGCAAAGTGGCAGCCAAGCTGCACCATCACCAGCTGCACCGAATCCTCTTTAATCAGCTTCAATCACAGGATCATTTCCGGGGAGTCTGGACTAAGTGCTTGTCTGAAATCAACCGTCAAGCCAGGGACTGCTCTAAAAAGTATCTGGAGCGCGCAGGCGCTGCCATGAGGGCAGGATGACTACCGGACTTCAGTCTGGATTGTTGGGCAAGTGGCACGAAACATAGTGGAGGACACTTAGGTGATGAAATCTGGATGACTGTTAATTCAACAGCCAGTAAATTGAACCTCCCACAACCTGCACCTTTAACTCAGCCAACTACCAAGGGATGCTGGCAGTCAGAACTAGTTCCAGTAGAATCTTGTTTCGGGAGTGACATGGCTTTGTTGATTCATGCATGTGCTTGGATTTATGACAATCTTTTTATATATTATCGACTCAGCTACTCAGTCCTATCCGGACTTCGGCCGTAGAGCATTTCATGAACAGCCTTTTCAAGCAACTGTTGCCTACTCTACGGATTTGAAAGGACATTAAAGAACACATCCAGGGGGGCTACTTGGCTTGCTTAGACCAAACGAGGGACATCAACATCCTTCACTTGTCATCTTGCCAGTACTTGAGCTACAATGACATCATTGTACCAATGACATTCAATGTCAAGTGAAGATCCACCCTATGGAAGCAACAGCTGCTGAGAAGGAGGTGGCAGAAGGAACAAGGTAAGTTCAAAGGGAAATCGGTATCTTTTGAAAATCGACTCTTCAACTACTGGGTAACCATCCCAGTTAGTTAGTCGAGGAAAAAATTGCTTTACTTGAGCGGGGAAACACGAAAGGTAGAGACGGACCGGGTAGCTGTCGGAACCTTTTCTGGTGAGGGACTGTCTCCGGTGTTTCAGGAACGTGCCCCTTGGTCAGTCATGGCTGAAACCAACAAAGCCAGAGAGAGCACAAGAAGGCTCAAGAGGAACACCGTTGCGGTCAGATTGCGCCACACGGCTCTGCAGAGAGGCTGCGTTGCGTCGACGCTCGTTTGTGTAAAGGTGTGTGAAAACAGGCTAAAAGTCGCAATGCGTAAACGCTCGCATGTGCACCAGCTATGGTCCCACAGCTGCACGCACTGTGTCAGGATTACAGGCCTGCACGCGTTGCGTCGAAGCCGCAGTGACCAACCCCGTGTAAGGATAGTGCTGGAGGGGTGCGGCCGGTATTGCCAACGCTATGGTGG